GGTCAAATACCTGAAAATAATTTTTGCATCTAAAACTTGTGGCTAACTCGGAGTATGTAAACTGGTAATAGGGGCATTCAATAATAAAACTTTTGTTCAAACTTTCATTTTATTCATCCCTGGAGGCCACCAGGGTAATTTGAGCATATTGTTATTACATAAAGAATGCGTTTCTCCCTTCTTCTTCTTTCCACTCCAGATTCCAACTGTAAAAAGTAAATCTACGTAACTGAATCAATTATATCCCAATATAGTTACTCACTCTGGTGTGAGTTGTGAAACTGCGGGTTGGGGCGATGCCACACTATTCTAATCAAAATCTTTTCTGCAAATTAGTTTACCTGCATGAATATCAACAGTACTGAGACCCCAGAGACAACTGTAAAGGAAATCCATTATTCTGTTTTATTTTACTGTATATTTGAGTGGGTTTTCCCTTGCAAACCTATTTTATGACTGCTATTTTTATCCTACATATACAATTTCAGGCTTTTCTCTCTCTCTCTCTCTTTTTTTAGATCATCCAGCTACTGGAAACAGATCATTACTGAAGATAATCACCCTTCACATTTAAAAAACCCTAATTTACCAAGCTTGAGATTAAGGAGACAAGCAGCGTTCCTGATATTAGTGGGCAAATAAAGAGCTCAGTGTTTGCTATTTTTAGATGAGAAGACATTGAACATGCAAACCCATGGTTTTCAATGAAGTTGGCAGCACCATTATTTTGACAATGTTTTATTTTCTTCCTGATTTCTCTTGTTTCCTTAACACATTTCTTCTAATGTTCCAAAGCTTTTTGGAACAACGAACCCTCATCATATCTCAAGACGTGGTGACGAAGCACCTGCAGCTCCTCATCAGGCTTCTCACCCAAAACCATGGGCACCAGAAGAGTTCAGAGGGCAGCCCTAAAGGTCTGCAAAACCTCTGATGCCTCGGGAGGGGCCATCCCCTTACTTCCCACCTCGCCCAGGACTGCTCGCTCTTCAGCAGGGATGAGAGAAGCTCCGAGGGCTGAGGTGGCTACGTTTTGAAGGGTACGCAGGACCTCTCGTCCTCCTCCTCCATCACGACTCTTGGACCAGCCACTTCACCCGGAGCTCGCCTGGGTACCCAGGGCAACACGGGGCCCGAACCGTCCCGGGGGAAAATTCAAAAACCCGCTCGCACGGAGACATCAGTCGGAGGGCGGCAAATGCCCCCGTGAGGAGCAACGCCCCCGCGG